AATTTTATTTGACAAAATAAATGAAGTACTATATAACATGCTACAGTATAGATGTCAGTTATATACTGTATAAATCCATTTATATGGAATGTCCAGAATTGGCAAATACATACACACAGAAAAGTAATTTAGTGATTGCCTAGGGCTGGTAGGCTGCAGGGAAATGGCTACTAACTACTAATGGGTATAAGGTTTCTTTTTGGGGTGACGAAAATGTTCTAAAATGGATTGTGGTGATGACTGAACAACCTTTTGAATATACTAAAGACTATGGAATTGTATACCTTTTAAATTTAAAAATTTTATTGAAAAATTGCAAGAATACTCTAGTAATAAAACACAATATTGTAAAAAAATGTTAACTGTAAACCTTAAATTGTTGAGTTGTTTGGTATATGAATTATACTTCAATAAATCTGGTAGCAAAATATTGGGACAAAAATTTGAAGATTCACAGGGTAGATGATGATACTAGGAATTATTCTTAATATTTTAGGTGTGATAGTGGTATTGAGGCTATATTTATAAAAAAGAATCTTTTCTTTTAGAAATACTAAAGTATTTGTGGGTGAAATAATTTAAAAACTATTCTCAACTCTATCCCTTTAAGTGTCACCCCACTTTTCTGTCCCCACTTACAACCAAATTTCTCCTCCAAATTATCTATCCTCCCCTCCAATTCTGTTCCTACCATGCTCTTTTGAAAGCAAACTCTTCCAATTCAGATTTTTGTGCTCCCCACCCCAGTGTTATGGTGAAAAGTCATCACAGCCCATCAGCAATGACTTGGTTGCTTTTCCTGTTTTTTCTCTTATTTCAGTGGCTGCTCTTTTTGTCTCCTTTCTGGTTTCATTATCATATCAATCTCTAAATGCTAATGTTCCAGGTTCATTTCTTAGATAACTTTTTCAAATTTCTGTCTATGCTCCATACCTATGTGATGGCTTTATACACTTGAAATAACTCTCTAATGGTGATGTCTCTGAAATTTACATACCCAGCTTGGACCTTTCTTCTGTATTCCAGACTCAAATACCTCATTGCCATCTTGATTTTAACATTAATTGAACAGGTGTTTCAAACTTAACCTCTCCAGAATTGAATTTATATCTTCCCATTCCCAACCTACTCCTCCCAGTCTTCACCATTTCAGTAAATGGTAACTCCATTCTTCAAATTGCTCAGGCCAAACATCTTGGAATCCCCTTAACTCTTTTCACATACCCTATTATTAATTAATCATCAAACTCTGTGTGCCATCCTGTCTGAACGTATGTATCCACACACTGCAGTCCTCCATGGCTTGCACTTTCCCCAAGCTACCATTGTCTTTCACTGGAGTACTGCCATAGCCTACTAAGTCATCCCCCTCTTGCTCTTCTATGATCTACTCTCAAAACTCCCTTACTTCCAATCTAGTCTCAAAACCAAAGCTAAAACTTCCCTGCTCATAACTTTCTGATGGCTTCTCCTTCCACTAACTAAATCTCAAAGATCTTACATGTCCTCAGAGTCCCACAGGTTGGCATCCTGTTACCTCTGACCTCATTTCTTACCTTCCCCTTACATACTTTGCTTCTGGCACTCTGGCTTCTTTTTCTGTTCTTAGAATGTAAAAGAAACCCTCCAGCCCCGAAATGACTTCTGCACCTGCTACTTCTACATGGAATTTTTTCTCCATGAAAGGGCTTTTCTTGCTCCCTCACCTCCTTCAGATCTCTGCTGTTTGCTTCTCAGTGGTGCCCCTCCTATTTCAAAGAAATCTTGTTCCATATTCTCAGCATTCCCACTTCCCCCTCATTGCTTCATTTTTTCCCAATACGTACCCTGTTTACATTTTATTACTTTCCATCTTCTGAGAACAGGGATTTTTTTCCTGCTTTGCTAAGTGTTTGGCACAGCTGGCACACAGGATTTTTTAGTGCATGAGTGCTGTTTATAAGGTACTTATATTCTCTGCCTCATTGTTTAATTGACACTAGCTTCATAGGAATTTGGGCATGCATCTCTGAGGAAGATGTCACTAACTGAATATAAACACTGTCTACTCATTCAGACTATAGAATCTTGTCTTTGTAAGGGAGCCCAAAGCACTGAGTGGGAATTCTAGAGGTTCTGGTTTCAATTGAAGTCTTGGTATCAATCAGCCATATAACATTAGGCAAATCCTTTTTCCTTTCTGGCCCTCAATTTCCTTACCAGCCAAAAAGAAATCATTGCTTTAGATGATCTCACAGGATTTTTGAGAATGTGAAATGCAAGATCAAAGTGTTGAGTAGCAAAAATTGTACTACTGCTTAATTTATTGGTGTGTCATTGAATCTATTAAAATAAACAGAAGCCAATTATAATTCACATTTTATGGGTAAGAAAATCAAAGTTCTGGGTTACAGATGGATTGAAGAGAGGCTCACCAACCACTCATACACACAAGTGACTAGGAAGCAAAACTCCCTTGGGAGCTGGCACCCACGGGCCCTGACTATTCACTGGTTTGGACAAGGATATTGAAAACAATTCACATGTTAAGAGTGAGTCTTCACAGGAGAAAGGATAGGCTGATACTAAGACCTTTCTCTGTCAGATTGCTGTTATAAGTAAGAGCTTACCTCAGCAAAACTTCACCTTCAAGGTCCCTAAAAGAACTCTGGGGTTTATTCCAGATCTATCCATTGCCTTTAAAAAAATGTAAAATGTCAGGTAAGTACAATGACTGGCATCTTTAAGCCTCCATAAATGCTTTATACAAATGGAGTATGTATTAGGGTTCTCTGTCAGGGTCACTTTCTAGAACAGTTCTTCCACCATGTTACACCCCCTACTCCAGGGTGTGAAACAGAATAGATTTCCGCACTTGGGTTTCAAAATCTTCCACAGACTTTTGAAAGCAGGATCTCAAAGAGATACTTGTACATGCATGTCCATAGCATTATTCACAGTAACCAAAAGGTGTAAGCGACCAGTGTCCATTGCGCTATATAGGTATGAGTATTATCAGCCTTAAAAAGGAAGGAGAGTCTGACACATTCTACAACATGGATGAACCTTGAGGACATTGTTTTTTTTAAAAATTTTTTTAGTGAAGGGTAGTTGACACACTATTACATTAGTTTCAGGTGTACAACACAGTGATTCAACATTTATATACATGATAATTCTAGCTACCAGCTATCACCATACAAAGTTGTTACAGTATTTTGACTATATTCCTTATGCTATACATTACATCCCGGTTACTTATTTATTTTACAATTGGAAGGAGGACATTATGTTGAGTTAAATAAGCCAGTCAGAAAAAGACAAATACTGTATAATTCCACTTATATAAGGCACTTTAACAGTCAAATTCATTGAGACAGAAAGTAGAATCGTGGTTGCCAGAAGCTGAGGAGAGGAAAGAACGAAGAATTATTTAATGGGTATAGAATTCTAGTTTTGTAAAGACAAGAGTTCTGGAGGTGGCTGAACAATAATGTAAATGTATTTAATGCTACTGAACCATACACTTAAAAATGGTTAAGATGGTAAGCTTTATGTAATGTGTATTTTACCATAATTAAAAAAAATACCCATCCAATTATTCCAATTATCAAACTTTATTTTCCACTCCTGTTCCCCACCCCCCATTTCAGTTAGACTATTCACTACTCCCAAAATAACACCCACCCACTTTTAAGCCTCTGCCCCAGGGTGTCTGGAATGCTCTTTTGTCACCGCCCATTTGTTCTCAAATGAAAGCCTGTGCTTTCGCCCAAAGGTATGTTACCTTTCTAGATCCAGTCAGGATCCACACACTCCAAGTTATCCCTACTAAAGACCACAGTCCTCTCTCCCTTTTCTGCACTACACAGAGGAGCGTAAGGCTTGTTTTAGTTTAGTCTTCCTAACCATTACACATAACACCTATCAGGGGCACTGCCTCACAGTTCCCCCACACCCTCCTCCCAACACATACACATTATGCCAGCGGTAGCTCGGAATACAAGAGCTCCCACCGAAAACTCGGAGCACGGATATAGAGACGGATATATAGACCTCACACTCTTAACAACGATTTTCACAAAGCAATGCATAATCTCACACAAAGGCTTTCAATGTCAAATTACCGGCCGGCGGAGGGGCTTGACATGGCCAACCGTAGGCCTTTCAGGATCTTTAAAAGGTAGCCTTGTAATTTGCACAGGCTTTCCACCCTCCGAAACCCTTCCCCACGTGCCATCCGGAAGTAATACGAGGACAGGAGCAGCGTGATTTGCGAAGGTGCTAAGGTAACAGGGATTCCGACGGGCCCTCTCAGTCTCCCAGACCTCCACGGGTCCGCCCCGCTCCAAAAAGGGCGAAGAATCGGTAAAAAGTTCTGCTTCCGGCTCAAGTGACACCGCCTCCCGCCCGCACTAACTCGAGAACGGACGCGAGACGGGACAGGAAGTCGCGGGGCACAACTTTCTTCATCCTAGTTACCCGAAGTTGGACATTGGTTGGGGAAAGCGAACGCGCGTAACCCAGAAGTGAAAGGTCTTTTCCTTCAGATATTAGACCTCTGAATGGAGGAGGTTCCGGCAGGATGACTTATAACTAGACTTTCCTGGTCCCCTCTTAGTTCTACTCGTCATACCCTCTGCTTTCTGGTGCTCTAGTGCCGTGGCCACTTAGATCTGATCCTCTTTTCCTAACCTGGGTTTTGCCGCAATTCGCAGGGGCCCCAACAACGCCCGAATCATCTTTTCCTTAAAGAATCTTTACCCTGCGGGTCCCCATGAGGGTCAATTGATGTTCTCCAAGAGGGCAAGAGCTCCCAGGACTCGTAGCTCCCGAAGCCCACCGCGCCCAGCCGGCGCCTGCGCGGAGCGTCGCCATAGCGAGCCAGCCGCCTCTCTGGTCTCGGGTTACACTCTCTATGGTTCAACAGGGTCGGTGGCGGTAAGGGGAACAGGGAGACAGCACTGCGCAGGCGCCCTGAGCTTCATTTTTTTTTTTTTTTTTTTTTTTTTTTTTAATCCCTGCACCAAGCGCTTAACCTCATTGGGGTGGAGGAGAAGGCGGCGGCTGTCTGTCCCGCAGCTGCAGCAGTAGCGAATAATGTGGCTGTAAGTAGTCGGGTCGGGCTAGGAGAGTTCGACCCCAGCCCTCGGAGGCCCCTGCCCCTTCCACCGCAGTGGCGGAGGTCGGGTCTAGGTGGGGTGACGTCCGGCTCTGTCTTCGGCTCTTGGGCGTACTTTGGGGGGAGGGGGCGGCCCTTAGGTGGGAGCCGGGCTAGGAGCGGGATGGGAGTGTTGTTTTATCCAGCCAGGAGGTTGCAGATCCCAGTCTGCTTTGCAGAGACAGGAAGAGGGGCGGCTGTGGGTCAGCTCGGCTTTGTGTACCCTTCTCTCTTCCTCTTCCAGACCCCACCCGGGCCCCCTTCCAGACCTGAAGAGTCCCTGGCCGGGTGGTAGAAGCTAGTGAACCTCGAGTCCCTTTTGAGAAGAGCCCGGGATTGCGAGGGGAGGGGGCGAGGAGAGAAACCGACAACTAGTCATCGGCGAGTGATGGGTGTGGAGAAAGGACCAGAGAGAACGGGGTGCGGGGGAGGCAGGCGGCCGGGGCTCCCAGCAGGGCCAGACAAAAGCTGAGCGGGCGGTGCGGGATGGGGAGGGTCCTCTTGGTCCCTGGGGCCCGCACAGACCTTCTTTAGGAATCTGGGAAAGCGTACAAGTGCTGAGTTAAGCCTTGTGTAGCCTCCCCAACTTGCCTTTGTTGTGCTTTGGTATTGGCAGAGACGCTCTGACGAAGATGAGTGTGTAATCTTGCACGTTAGCCTGGTTGGGTACAATAGAGCTAATCGAATTTTGCTTTCCATTTTCCCAGCTGCTCGGTGAGTTATGGGGCTTTCCAGGGTCTAACTTACTGCATAATGTTTTTAAAAAAGATTTTTTTAAGATAAAAAAAATAGGTGGAGCCCTAAAGCATATTTTACTGCATGTAGGTGAGTTTCTTGTGGAGTTCGTTCATTAAATACCATTCGTAGTGCCCTTGAGCTCTTTAAACATTAATTTGTAGATGTGGCAGCAAGAGCTTAAGATTCTGTGGTCCTTTGGGAGGCAGTGATGCAGAAGAGTTAGAAGCGAGAAATTGTTGCATGCCGCCATGTGCCTTGCACCCTATTTGAGTACCACATTCTGATATGAAATATGGCTTTAGAAATTGTTGCTTTTATAGCTATTATTTGTGACATTTACGGAGCTCTTGGTACACGGGATCCTGGGCAGTGGGTTCCTTTTGCTCGTCAAGGGGATGGAAGAATGGTAACGTTGGTAGAGACCATATAGATAAGAAAAATAACACATGTTCTAGAGCTATGGAGTATTAATTTATATTCTCCCTTTGATAAGAAAGATTTAAAATTTGGTGAACTGTTAGCTTATTCATCTTTGTAAAGTTGTGTATTTACACCTTTGAAGCGACTGTTACTCAAATCTGTTTTGATAATTATAGTTCATCAGCTAATATGTAGCACTGTTTTAAAGTTTTTATTTTTATGGAAGAGTTTTCAGCCTTAGCTTTATATTTTTCCAACCAAAGTTAACCGAAGTCAGAAATCCTTTGAAAAGACGGTTGGTGGAGGTGTCAAATATTGTATCTCCATGTTACAATCTAAGTGGTAAATACAGAAAAGGCCTTTGCTAATCTTCTGCCTTTAATTGGGGTTAGAATTGAAAAACTAGATCTCTTAGTATGTCAGAATTTTGTCCACAGACTGAACTTTATGCAACAGAGGTAAGCTTTTTTGTACTCATAGGAAGCAAAAGTCTGAAGCTTGGCGTTTTATGCTTCAGTAACTACTGTGATACAATCTCCAGTGTGGTTTGGATGATTGGAACCTGCTTTTTATAGAGCAGGATTTCAGATCCTTAAAATAGTTTGACAGGAATGTTGAGAAATGGTTGGCCGGAAGAACATTGTTAATTGTTCACATGTGTTGTATTTTATTTATTAGTTTTGGATTTAGAGTTTTTGTTCCAGTCTTGTTAATTCTCTTTTCTTGGCTCAGTCTCACAGCATGTAAGTTGGGTGAGATCGTTTCTTAGGCCTGAGACCTAAATTTATTTTTGAGATTCCATTTGTTCTTAACGATCTTCTACCTCTAAGGTCACAGTTTTTAGATTATTATATAATACTTTTTATTTTGTAGTACTATTAGTAAATATTATAATCATTTAAGAGATTATAAATATTAGGCTCAGAGCTGAATTTTAAAACTGCCAGTGTTGATAACTTCAAGTCTGGTTGTCAAATAGTGTAAAGAGTAGACAGTAGCAAAAAACAAATGTTTGAAAACAGAATCATTCCAAAGATTTCCTAGAAAATAAGAGAAGGATCTTGTAGTCTTGGGAAAAAAAAAAAGCTAAGTGAAGAAATTGATAATTAAGTTTTGGGTTTGTAAAGTGTAATTTAAGAAAGTAAACTAACCTTTCTTTACCCAGTGCAAGCAAGACAACATCCTTAAAGTTTGTGTGTTTGACTACATGATCTCTGAAGGCCTTTTCTTTTTAGCACCAGAATTTATTGAATGTTTCTAGCCTGGCCTTCATGACTGCAGGGCTTTCCTGTATGTGCATACCATTACTGCTATATCTAATGTTTTTCCTCCCAAGTTTCTTACGGCAGCCCTAATCCACCTCCCTGCTATAGACCCCTCAAGATGTAGCTGCAGTGTGCTTAAATGACTGCATTTCTTCCATAATACCTTTGTTGACTTCCCTCCTGTTCCCTGCTTGGAAGTCTGCTCACTCCTTACTGATTTGTATGGTATCTGTTACCTTTCTCCTTGTAAGGTCCGTTCCTGTGCATTTACTCTTCTCCAGATCCTTGAGGGCACTGGGAGTTTGTAGAACACTTTGTGGTGCCCACTGTGCTTACTATGGGGATTTACATAACTAGTCACTGTAGAAAGTAGGAAAAAGTAAATGAATGTATCCTCACTTAGAAGTACAGAATTTGAGCCTTGGAACAGCTCTTAGAGGCCCTATAGTCCAAAATCCTACTGTATTTCTCTTTTGTATTCTCATTATAAGCTGTAATCTGCAGACACGCTTCTCTGTTACTGGGCATGTCCTGGTTGCTTAGAAAGTTATTTTAGACTGTAGCAAATCTTCCCCCTCCTCTTTTACCTGTTGGTCTTAATTATACCCACTGAAGCAACATGAAGTAAGTCTGTTTTTTCTCCACATAATGGCCTTTTATTTCTTAGTATGGTCATCAGGCCTTCTCTAGATTTATTGATTAATTAATTTATTAAGCTCTTTCTTTACCAGGTAGACACCAGGCACCATGAAGGAACAGTTGAAAAGACATGCGTGGTTTCCACACTTCAAGGGCTTTTGGTCTAACAGGGGAGACAGACAAAATGTTATAAATTGATGCAGTTACACTGGAAGTACATAAACAGCCCTAGATCCTTTGTCCTTCATGGTTTAATAGGATTTCACCATGCTTTCTTTAAGCAATTCTGTTTTGTCAGTGTCCTTTAAATGTACTGTCTGAAATAAAACTATTTGATATGACTGACCAGATTATACAGCTGCTGTTTTAGGTTAGGAAACTGTATCAAGGATTTTCAAACTGTGTTGTGCTTTCTGGCTCTGCTATTTACTAGCCCTGTGACTTTGGGCTGTGGGCTAGTTAAGTCATCTTTTTGTATTTTAATGATTTCATGTATAAAATGTGGGTGAAGGGAGGGCAGTGTTACAGTAGTACCTACTTAAAGGATTGTTGGAAGGATTAAATGAGATGATACATGTAAAGGGCTGAGAATAGTGCCTGGCATATAGTAAGTGGCTATACATGGTATTCCTACTATGTACTCATAGTAAGAGTAATCTTAATAATGTAGTAGTAGTAACAGCAGTAATCAAGACACCAGACTCACTTGCAGGGCTTATTAAAATACAAATGGCCTCACAGTATTTATTTCTGTCCCCCCAGAGATTTTGGTCAGTTAAGTTGATGTGGGGCCAGGGCAGCAACAGCTTTAACAATCCCCCTGGTGATTCTTAAAACCTCAAAGTTTGAGAACACTAAACTCTGTATGACTTTTGTCAGTGATTGCATTTGCTTTACAAATTAAAAAAGTTACCAAGTAATAGATAATAGATTCCACTTCAAGATTGTACCAGTGCAGATAAAGGGAAGAGTATGGCCCCAGATCCCAGCCCCTTGGGAGGCACACCTGTTAATTATCAGTTTGGAGTGTATTTTTCTGAAACTAACCCTTTTTTGTAGTTGCATATATATGACCAGCTTCATAATAATAGCTGGATTTAAGGGAACAAACCCTAGATTTTCAAGGTACTTCTATGTTCATGATCTTATTTGCTCCTTTCAAAGTCCTGTGAAGTAAGTGTTGGTGGGGGGATTATCCTGTCAATTTATAGATGAGAAACTAAGACTTGTAAGTTAAATCCCAGGTGGAATAGAACTAGAACTGGGCCTTCTCTTTCTCAGTGTGATGTTTTTTCCATGTGAACTGTCTCTTAGCTACATGATTTTGTTGGCTTGTATTGAAGTTGTGGTTCATAAAGTCTCCTGATCTTTTTGCCATGTGAATAGCTGCGAAACCAGATTTCCTCCTATCTTAAAACAATTTTTTTAAATTGAAGAATATTGACATTGATTTCAGGTATACAATATAGTGATTTGAAATTTATATACATTATGAAATGGTCACCACAAGAAGCCTATCTTCCTATCTTTTAGTATGTTTATACTTGCTTCTTAAAAAACGTAAATTCAGGGTTTGATAGTTAATGTATCTGTTAAGATTTATCTTGTGAGAAAAAAAATCTAGAACTGGCCTTGTAGCCATCTGCTACCATGGCACTTTTGGGTGAGTTTATCTTCATTTAGGATAGCTTAGGTCATTGACACCATTTTCCTCTTGTCTCTGTAACTGTTGTCCAGTTGACTTCCCAAGCAGAATCAGTTAAATTTGTTTATAGTTTTATTATAATTATGTAGCACTAATATGGAAAGTTGAGAGCCTGGGGATGGGGGAGCCCCCAACAGAGCATCCTAATACGAGTTATTACTTCTTAATGTATCACGTATTGAAGTTGTTCACATGTCCATACTTTTTAGTAAGTAATTTTAGGTCTTGCATGTTTTAGGAATAGTTTCCATGTAACGATATAGTATGCGTCACTTTAATTTTTAATAGCTTTGTCATATTTAAGATGATATGGCACATTTTGGTACACTGGGGTTCCTGATACACAGGAATTTTTTTTTTTAGATAACATACACTACAGCAGTGACTGCCTTTTTGCTTATAGTTTGCTTCTTCTGTGTTGTTTCCTTAGGATAAATTCAAAGAAGTGAGATTATTGGGTGACTTTTGATATAATTGCCTGCCTGCTGACCAGAAGGTTGTACCAGTTAATAATTTTCCCAGCAATCTAAGGATGTACCAGTTTCACAAAACTTTTGCCAACTTCTGGTAATATACTTTACATATACTTTTGTTATTGTGACAGGTATAGAGTAGTACATTATTTTTATTTTTTGTTTCTTATATTGTATTTTGAAAAGGAAAAAGCAACAATGATGGACTTTTTTAAAAAAATTTTTTATTAAGGTGTGATTGATATACACTCTTATGAAGGTTTCACATGAAAAAACAATGGTTACTACATTTACCCATATTATCAAGTCCCCACCCATATCCCAATGCAGTCACTGTCCATCAGTGCAGCAAGTTGCCAGAGATCCACTATGTCCCTTCTCTGTGAAACACTGTTCTCCCAGTGATCCCCCACACCATGTGTACTAAACATAATACCCCTCAGTCCCCTTCTCCTTTCCTCCCCACCCGCCCTCCCACACCTCTCCCCTTTGGTAACCAGTAGTTCATTCTTGGAGTCTCTGAGTCTGCTGCCATTTTGTTCCATCAGTTTTGCTTCATTGTTATACTCCACAAATGAGAGAAATCATTTGGCATTTGTCTTTCTCTGCTTCACTTATTTCACTGAGCATAATGTCCTCCAGCTCCATCCATGCTGCTGCAAATGGTAGGATTTGTTTCTTTCTTATGGCTGAATAGTATTCCCTTGTATATATGTACCACCTCTTCTTTATCCATTCATCTACTGATGGACACTTAGGTTGCTTCCATATCTTGGCTATTGTAAAAAGTGCTGCAATGAACATATATGGTGCTTATGTCTTTTTGAATGTGAGAAGTTGTATTCTTTGGGTAAATTTCAAGAAGTGGGAGTTCTGGGTCCAATGGTATTTCTATTTTTAGTTTTTTGAGGAACCTCCATATTGGTTTCCACAATGGTTGAACTAGCTTACATTCGCACCAGCAGTGTAGGAGGGTTCCCCTTTCTCCACATCCTCGCCAACATTTGTTGTTCTTAGTCTTTTTGATGCTAGCCATCCTTACTGGTGTGAGGTGATATCTCATTGTGGTTTTAATTTGCATTTCCCCTTATGATTAGTGATGTGGAGCATCTTTTCATGTGTCTGTTGGCCATCTGAATTTCTTCTTTGGAGAACCTTCCCTTCATATCCTCTGCCCATTTGTTAATTGGGTTATTTGCTTTTTGGGTGTTGAGGTGTGTAAGTTCTTTATATATTTTGGATGTTAACCCCTTGTCGGATATGTCATTTACAAATATATTCGCCCATACTGTAGGATGCCTTTTTGTTTTATTGATGATGTCCTTTGCCGTACAAAAACTTTTTAGTTCGATGTAGTCCCATGAGTTCATTTTTGCTTTTGTTTCCCTTTCTTGAGGAGATGGGTTCAGGAAGAAGTTGCTCATTCAGGAGATGTTTGCCTATGTTGTCTTCTAAGAGCTTTATGGTTTCATGACTTACATTCAAGTCTTTAATCCATTTCGCGTCTACTTTTGTGTATGGGGTTAAACAATAATCCAGTTTCATTCTCTTGCATGTAGCTGTCCAGTTTTGCCAACACCAGCTGTTGAAGAGGCTGTCATTTCCCCATTGTATGTCCATGGCTCCTTTATCATATATTAATTGACCATATATGGTTGTGTTTATATCACAGCTCTCTAGTCTCTTCCATTGGTCTATGGGTCTGTTGTTGTGCCAGTACCAAATTGTCTTGATTACTGTGGCTTTGTAGTAGAGCTTGAAGTTGGGGAGTGTAATTCTCCCTGCTTTATTCTTCCTTCTCGGGATTGCTTTGGCTATTCGAGGTCTTTTGTCATTCCATATGAATTTGAGGACGATTTTCTCTAGTTTGTTGAAGAATGCTGTTGGTATTTTGATAGGAATTACATTGAATCTATAGATCGCTTTAGGCAGGATGGCCATTTTGACGATATTAATTCTTCCTATCCATGAGCCTGGGATGTGTTTCCATTTAACAATGATGGACTTTTATATGAACCAAGTGTATGTGATTTTTGTTAGATATTACGTGCAGGTGATCTCTCTCACTTCCTTGGTTTCTGCTTTTGTCTTGCATTGCCAAAGCTTTTGCATTTGTAGATGGGTATGGAGGAAAATGTATCCTTTGCTTTGTGGGACCATTTGGTCTATTTGTCAACATCAGGATGTAATCTCAAAACACTTTTATGGTCTACTTTCAAGTGTTTCTTTAAACAGTTATGCTCAGGGGCTCTGCCTGAAATATTTAGTAATCAGAATCTCTGGTGGTGGGGGTGAGGCATCTGCCTTTTTAACAGATTTCCCAAATTATTCTGAGGCCACCAGAGTTTGAGAGTTCCCTCAGAACTACCTTCTAGCTACTTTTCTGCTCAGTTTCCTCACAGAGTGTGTCTTTCCTGTGGGTAGAGTCAGACTGTTTTGAGCGGCTGCTCACACATGCTAACGGAGGCCCATTGTATGGAGAGAATGAATTGTATAGCAGTGCTCTTCCTAATGTAGAGGAGCCGAGTTCATTCTAGGAACAATAAGCCAGCCTGTCGAGTTGTTGAAATGCATAAAAATGGCTCCTTCTCTTAAGTATTCTCGTGGTATTGGTCGTGGTATTGGTGGCTGTATTTTATTTTAATTCTGATAGGTCCTAGAGGTGATCAGATCCAAGCCATGTCCTGTTCAGCCTTTGGTTGGCCAGCAGGTGGCACATAGACTTACTGTCACAATGGCAATGGCCATCATGGATTGAGCACCCAGCATCGCCCGGGTACTAGCCTGGGTGCTATAGGTAGACTTTTGCTAATTCTTGCAGCAATATTTAAAGGCAGATGCTATTTTTATTTTGTAATGATAGGAAGTTGAGACTTAGAGAAGTGGAATAGCTTGCCCATGGTCACACAGCAGCACAGTAACAGACTGGCTCTCAGATGCTTCAGCTTCCTTTCCATTTATCTCTGTTTCTCATCACAGTTTATTCCTCCTTCATGGAAGGTCAGTGGGCTGCCTTGGGAGAAAGCCTGCTCCTGGCATCCACAGCATCTGGAGATGCCTCCTCACTGGTCAGGAAGGATGTAGAGCTGCAGGCTTCCCACTAGAGTTTCCATGAAGGTTAGATCAGGTGAACTATGTAGTCCTTTTTGGATTTGAGTCGCTGATTTGAAACCTACTTCCAGACAATTCAGATTATTAATGATTTGATAGAAACTTTTTTCTTCTTAATTTAGTTTTTTATTGTGGTAAAAATATATGTAACATAAAATATGACATTTTAACCATTTTTAAGTATACAGTTGAGTGGCATTAAGCACATTCACACTGTTGTGCAAGCATCATCACAGTCTGCTTCCGAATCTTTTCTGTCACTCCAAACAGAAACTCTGTAACTGTTAAGTAATAAATCCCATTCTTTCCTTTCACTCAGTCCCTGGTTAACTCTTAGTCTACTTGTGGACTTGTGACTATTTTAGTTTTCATATAAATTGAATCATACAATATTTGTCCTTTTGTGACTGGTTTATTTCACTTAGCTTAATATTTTCAAGGGTCATTCACGTTGTAACTTTATCAGAATGTTATTCCTTTTTAATTGCTGAACTAAATACCCATTGTATGGATACTACATTTTGTTTATCCATCTGTTAATGGAACTTGGGTTGTTTATACTTTTTGACTATTGTAAATAATGCTGCAGTGTACACTGGTTTACAAATTTCAGTTTGCAACTCTGTTTTTAATTCTTTTGGCTATATACTTAAGAGTAGAATTACTGGGTCATGTGGTAATTCTGTGTTTAGCTTTTTGAGGAACTGCCAAACTTTTCCATAATGGCTGCACCAATTTAAAACTTCCCCACCTTGATTTCTTTCCTTCAGATGGGATACATGGATGTTTGTGTGTGTTACAGCTTTGCTGCTTGACATATGAGAGATACTTAGTAAATGTGAGTTCCTTCATTTCTTTTAATTTTGTATAGTTACTTTTAAGTGATTTGTGTTCCAAAACAGATGGTAAGGACCTTCAGAGTAGGGTATATATTATGTTTTTTTGTTTCCCAATTTATAGCCCTCTTTTGTCCCCTCCTCATTCTAGTGCCCAGTCTAGTGCCATGCAAGTGATGGCCTTGGCTTTTATTGACTGAACTGTAAAGCTAAATGTAGACCTTTGTGAATATATTTGAGTGATTGCAGAAAATTCTCCTTTAAAGAGAGTTGATCAGTATATTATAAAGTTCTCCAAGATTTTTAATTCAGGTCCTTTTAAGCCATTTTCCCAAATGTGAGGATTGATAGTAGTATCTAGGTCTTTCAAATGCATAACTAATGTTTTTGTATGTGATGTAAGATATTTGGACAAACCTCCCGTTGCATAAGATGGGGTTCATTTCATGGATAACTGAAAAGTTTTTTACTTGTTATTTAAGGTTATGAGTTTTAAATTGGGGTGATTTATTTTAGGAGGGAGTTTGTATATTTAGACACCTTACCTTTTCATTTTTGACAAAAATTGTGACTTTGTCATAAAAGTGTATTTTCTAACAAAAAATCAAATATCATTGGAAAATTATTTTTGCCTAGAAATCCCAAAAGTTAACTATTGAAGATCTTTCTCTCTGGGTCCATATTAGCAGATTTCCCTCCATCACTCTCTTCAGTGTTCAGTAGAGTCTAGTGTTACTTGCCCAAAGTGATCAGATTGCCTTTGGGAGTCCACTTTGTAATCTACCTTCCAGATGTCCATGAAGGGAAAGCTCAGTTTTGTTTTCCAGTAGGTTTTGACTCCTAAGTAGGTATTTCTTAGTATCTTGTTTTATAAACACTTTATCATAGGAGATACTGGTTATTAATCTATTGTTTGTTTTAACATATCCTTATTATTAATAGTGAAAACAAAGAAAGGAATTATTTTATTCCTATATTTTCTAGTTCCAAGCAATGTAAATCAGAGAAGCCAGAGCAAATTCAGTATTTCATATGCTTTCAAGATAATTGTAAGCTACCAAAGTGATTCAGCAAGAGCTTGAACTATCTTAAGAGGAAGAATGGTTTATGCTGGGGAAAGTAAGAAGGAAAGATGCTCTTTTCTTCTAGTATGTCTGGCCCTATCTATGGGGAAGTTATGCGTAACTTCCCCATAAATAAGTATATTTATTTATGAGGGGTAGTATATAGCTTTATCTATATACACAAAGTTTGACTCAAGAAGTGTTTTTATCACTTAATATATCACCCTCCAGACATGGGACCCTATTCTCAGGAGGATGGTCCTTTAAAAAGAGCACTGTCAATGCCACATTACCCTTTGTGGAGCTGATTGGGGCTAATAGATGTGGCATTTTAGCCTAATGCTGATTGATTTTACTTATTGGTAGTGATTGGCATGCCTCATAGATTTCCTGTGGCCTGTGACTGCATTTTTAAAGTGAAGATAATGGGAAAAGCTTCCCTTTCTCTCATTATTTTCAGAACTTGGAGTAGATTTCTGAAATTGCCCAAGAAGCATGTATTCAGAAAAAGAAACAGAAACAATACATAGCTGAATTATACAGCAATAATTTTCTGGAGTCAGGACAGAATGATTAAGCTCTGGAAGATATGGAACATTTCATAATCATTTGAGTACTTGACCTCTTTTGGATCCAGCAGAGGGCATGCAGAAAGGCTGTGTATAAGCATTAATGGGAAGTGGACCTAAAAACACAGCCTTTGATGAGAACTGTGGCCGTTAGAGTAGAGTTATTCTAGGGTGTATCGTGAGTGACTAGTGGGGAATGAACACACAAAGTACCTAGGTCAGAATCTTCATTCAACAGCCTCACTGCTGTGCCTGAGGACAGAGAGGCTCTCAGCCCTGTTCCCAAAGAGCTCCGCCCTAAGAAGGCAACTAGACAAGGGAGGAGGTGGCTGTGATTCCTGCTTAGGTGTGCTGCTGTGTGGAGGTGAAGGGGAGGGTTGCCCTGTATGGGCTGGGTGGGGAAGCCATGCGCCCTCTTCCTGTTCTGACCTGAAGGATGTGAGGTCCTGAACTTGGGACCTCCTTGTTGCCTTCCACTTAACAAGAGAGCTGTGTTGGCTGGGGACCTTGCATGTGACTATGGGACATGGAGCCTCCCTCTTGGCCATATTAATGCCATGGTCTAATTTTGTGAAGTGGCCACAGACAAGAGCCAAGAAACCACCGTTGCTGAGAGAAGGCTGTTTAATATCTTGCAGGGAGCTGTAGGTCTGTATAAAATCAGGACCTCTTCTATTTTCAGAACTTCACTTGAATCATCAACTGATCAGTGATTCAATTTTGGGATTTTGAGGTGGGGGGGTGGTTAGACATTGTGCTTTTGGGAGACTGGTTGCTATTGAGATTGCTTCTTGATAGTGATGGCATTATTAAAATTGTATAATTCTTACTGTAGTCGCAAGCTTATTACATGCATATTGGCTGTAAGATTTTTTTGAAAAGATACCTAGGGGATATTCTTGTGTTTCCTTTTTATTATGAGTGAATTTAAATCTGTTGTAGTTATATATGAAGATTCTTCTGATCTTGTTTAAATTATCTATAAGAGAGAAATAGAACTGCTAGTTAAATGCATTACTTTTTTTATTACAAAAATTTATTTTTTGAACATACATCTACATGATTTAAATTTAAAATTTTCCTTCTCTCCTGTTTACTATTGACCCTGCATTTGCTTTTTTTTTCTTTTTTAACTTGATGTATCTTGGAAATCATTCTTTTAGTACATGAAAAGCCTTCCTCATTTTTTAAATGAAGAGTATGGTTGAATAGCATGCCTTTGTGTGACATACCATAATTTACCTTCTCTTATTGAGGAACAGTTTTTTCTAGTCTTTTGCATTTATAAACAATGTTACAAAGGATAATCATGTAACAATGTATTTTGCATGTATGTAAATAAAATTCTGGTAAGTTAATGTTTTGTGTTGAAAGTTGTTTGTCTTTCTTTTGAGAGATATTGCCATATTACCCAGCTTTGAAGTTTTTAACAAAACCCAGCCTGCAATATATGAGAATGTTGTGGTTAATACAATCAAACATAATTTTGTAAAAGCATAGGACCCTGTCTTATCCTATGCCGTTTTTGAACTAAAATATGGCTATAGTACAGTATTCAAACATGAGTTGGGTTCTTGTCTTTGCTTTCCTGTTTTTGACTTTGCAAGAATTCCATGGCCAGGTGAGGTTCAGAAATAAGCTCTGTTTCCTTATAGGTGTTACCAGTGCTGCCTTCTAGAGATGAGTACCAGAGATGGACACTTTGCTGAATAACCAGCTCTTTGTACAGTTTTCAATTCTTGTAGTAACTGTTGATGCCTGTGGTTTCAGGATTACAGTTTTATTTGACTTTACAAGCAACTTTCTGGTATTTACTCGATACAGTATGGTTTAACTAGAAAGACTTAACATTTTTTTCAATGTTCTCAAATGTGTACTTCCTTTGAATAGATAATATGTACATGGTTAAAAAGTTTAAAAGGTACACCTCTATTGGGTGAAATAGAAGTTTTCCTCCACCCTTTTCTCATTCTTCCACATCTCATTTTCAGAGGCAACCAGCGATTATAGTTTCTTAAATGATTTCCCAGATACTCTGCATTTACAAGGCAGTGTGTGTGTGGATATCCTGCAGCATTGCTCTGTTAGTACCACTATTGTTTTTAAAATGTTTAAAAAAAGTGTGTTTACACACACACATACATACATACATAGTGCATTTTCATTGTAGAAAATATAGTGTATATTTCCTTCATGTGTTTCCTATGCATTTAAAATAAAAGTGACTACCTTTTGTTCTATAAACAAAAATGACATCATAAGCATGATGTTTCCTAGTTTGCTTTTTAAACTAAACTGATTGTAGATTCTTTGCAGGCCAATAAGAACATACTTTTACTATTCTTTTCAGTGACTGCATAGTATAGTCTTGTTTGGATTGTACTATAATTTCTTCCCCAATTCCATGTTTTGTAAACATTTAGAGTTATCCTTAAAATTATTTTCATGAACAGCTGCAGTGAAGAACTTTATGTATACATTTTAATATACTTGATGAATTATTTCCTTAGATGAATTCTTATTTTGGATTTATTGGATTAAAACATATTTAAAGATTACTGATAGATGTTTAAAGATTGTCTAAGGTAGTTATGAATTTTATTTCCATTGGCAGTGTATTTAAGTGTATTTTATTATACGTAGTTACATTCTTAAGTGATAGTTTTGTTTAAACATGTGACTAGAATGAGGGCTAGGTCTTTGGTATTAAAAAAAAACCATCTTAGTGATGAATAGGAAAGAATAAGTCAGTGTTTGAAAAATTTTGAAGCAGTCACAACTCGTTTTGGAAACAGCATTTGTATGTGCAGTTTAGTATATACTAGCATTGATAAGGCACAGATCTTTTTGAACTTTTTTCCTGAATCCATCAACTATGACTGTAAAAATGTCATTTTAGATAGCAGTGTTTTGTTATAGTTGAACTGAGAAGTACAGCAAAATTTCCCCAACTTTATGTGTAAGCTTAGTGAAGTACAGATTTACAGTCTGTGTGCTTGAAATGTGGTTTCAGTGGGGTGGGTAGGAAACAATATATGAAGTTTTTTTTTCAGTGGTCTTGGTCTTTGTTCAGGTGATGTTCCAAATTCTTTTCCTCTCCCAGCTCACTTAATGTTGCATTGAAAGATTTGAAGTTAAACCTAGGAAGATCAGATTCATCTGATCAATGAATAAATGAGTCTCTGAAGCCCTCAGTTCAGTTCTCTTTCTTCAGCAAGCACAGGTTTCCATTCATATCACTGAAGGCTCTGTGACTAGGTTTTCCCAGTCCATCAGCTTCTGTATTTTCAGTATGAATCATGCTGGAGCAAGGAATGGAAGCAGCAAAGGGGATGGTTTGGGCAGTAGGGGATGGTGAGCAAAGCCTGT